TKTWTTGAGTGTTTCACTATTGCAGAGAAATCCATTCTTGGAATTGATTTTGATTTTTATTCCATGTTAATAGCCAGTGTCTGGATATTGATTTCGTTTAGCCCATCCAAATTCTCAAAAAGTGAGCAAAAAAAAAACAGCTTGGAAGTACTCTGAAATATCAAATCCTTTGACTGAAATAGTTTTTTTTWAAAGTGAGACAGGTTCAAGTTGAAAATGTGAGCCAGTAATCCACAAATCACGTAAATCATGAGTAAAGCTACACCTTTGAGGTATTTGCACCAATGTAGGTCGGAAKGGTTCAAAGAAAATTTGGACATAGTGGATACAGCAAAACCAATGTCAGGATGACAAATATTGTGTGCATAAAGGATTTCACCAAGGAGGGTGCAATAGGCAAATCCATGTTCAGTTTTCAATTTCTTGTGTTACTGAGATCCTTCTGGTGGACCACGACCATCTTCATTGAATATTTGRTCAAGAGCCTTTTCGGGTAAAGGGGGGCGGGCAGTTGGATGGCTAGTTAATTTTGGGTGTGTGAGTGAGCAATAAGCTCATCCTCACTCTTTATTGTAAACACATATTCATGTGACACTAGAGAGCATATGTACATTTTGCAGGTTATGAGCATGAGGTGTATTGTTCTCTCCGKAGAGCCACGTACAATTTGTACAGACTCCGGATCTGTCTACTCCTCATTAGGGTTCGTACCTCGTACTGTACGAGTCAYTCGTAGGATCTACTGAGTCGCAGCTATATCATATTGACTTACACTACGAACCATACAGTAATATATTATTGGGTAGTGTCAGTAGGAATTGGCTGACGACCAGACTGTTCGAGAAACGAATGGTTGTAAGAGGCGAAAAGAAGTATTCCGGTAAATAATACAGAAATGATCTTTCTACGGTGGCGTGCTAYTTCACGCGGAGAAAAATGCTTCCCTGATGAGAACATCAAAATGCTGCCTTCCAGTTGGCTACGTTGCGCCAAGGAATGCTGGCCACGATTACWAAGCATAGTGACATCCGCGTTCCACGGTTTTTGTAGCGAAGAGATACTCACAACTCAGGAAGAAGAGAAAGTAAAACGAAACCATGGTAAGGACCTAGCATTGTATTCATCAACATATCGATCGAGTCACAGCTTTATGTGGCAAACTCCACAAAAGATTCACCGCCAATGGCGTGTAATAGCGAAAGGTGGATCTACGTCCGATGGCTCAATAGGTGATCCGTCTCCAAGATTCTCTCCTCGAATCTCTACGTTTTTGTGCTATGCAGTTCAGCTGAGATGCACACAATGTAGGCCCCGGAGCCCTGTTAAATTGATAGGAATTTAATACGGGGAAGATGAATGGGATAGTGGCGGTCTACTGTGACTATTCCAACAGTTGGAACGAAGTGATGTTTATTCCCGCCAAATCCGAGAAAATTCATCTTATAATCACATATGCGCGAGTCTCACAGGTTACGCATCTCTTTGCTCGTTCTATAACCTCCCCGTTGAATGTGCCTGTTCGCTTGAAAGGTTAACTTTACCGTCGAACAAATGAGGTCCATCATGGACCTCAAGCACAACATCCGTTCCATGTCGGTTATCGCCCACGTTGAGTGAGTACAATGACTTCAATTGAACGCTTGCAGTCTATGTCAAATATGGAAAAACGCATTTGTTATTGATTGCAATCAATCTTCTGCTCACATAAACTATCTTGAAATTTGTCATCCTTAGTCACGGAAAAACCACCCTGACCGACTCCCTCGTCCAAAAGGCTGGAATTATTTCCGCCAAAGCCGCCGGWGGTGCCAGATACACCGACACCCGTGCCGATGAAGCTGAGCGTGGYATCACCATTAAGTCGACTGGTATTTCCATGTTTTTCGAGTACGACATGAAGGCAGGAGAAGCCGCCGGACTCTCCGAAGAGGAAGCCGCAAAAATTGCGCAGGATATTGCCGACAAGAAAGATGCCGAGGCGAACGTCAACATTTCTGAAAACTCCTACCTTATCAACCTTATTGACTCGCCTGGTCACGTTGATTTCTCGTCTGAAGTCACCGCCGCCCTTCGTGTCACCGATGGTGCCTTGGTTGTTGTCGATACTATTGATGGCGTGTGCGTTCAAACCGAAACCGTGCTTCGCCAATCTCTTTCTGAACGTGTCAAGCCCGTYCTGATGGTCAACAAGGTCGATCGTGCCCTTCTCGAACTTCAATTGCCTGSGGAAGAACTCTACCAAGCTTTCTGTCGTGCCATTGAGTCCGTTAATGTGATCGTCGCCACTTACAACGATGAAGCACTCGGAGATGTCCAGGTTGAYCCAACGAAGGGAACTGTTGCCTTCGGTTCTGGTCTCCACCAATGGGCTTTCACTTTGAAGAAGTTTGCCAAGACTTACGGAGCRAAGTTCAATGTTCCTGAAGAAAAGATGATCACAAAGCTTTGGGGTGATTGGTACTTCGATGCTGGACGATCCGTTTGGACCACCAGTGACAAAGGAGGCACCCTTGAACGTGCGTTCTGTCAATTCATCGCYWMYCCTATCACTACTCTCTTCGAAGCCATCATGGCCGAGAAGCACGGAAAGGTCAAGAAGATGTTGAAGGCTATCGGTGTCGAACTTAAGGGTGAAGAAAAGGAGTACACCGGAAAGCAATTGTTGAAGCGTGTTATGCAAAAGTGGCTCCCTGCCGGTGACACTGTCTTGGAGATGATTGTACTCCACCTTCCTTCTCCTGTGAAGGCTCAATCTTATCGTGTCGATTTCCTTTACGACGGTCCTTTGGATGATCAGACAGCCACCGCGATCCGCACTTGCGATACTTCCGAGGGTGCCCCTATGTGCATGTACATCTCCAAGATGATYCCTACGTCTGATAAGGGTCGTTTCTATGCSTTCGGACGTGTCTTCTCTGGAAAGATYGCCACCGGCCAAAAGGTCCGAATCATGGGTCCTAACTACGTCGCTGGAAAGAAGACCGAGCTGTGGGTCAAGAACATCCAACGTACTGTTATCATGATGGGTAAATACACCGAACAGGTTKCTGATGTCCCCGCTGGAAACACCTGCGCCTTGGTAGGAGTTGACCAGTACTTGTTGAAGTCTGGAACCATTGCAACTGCTGATGATGCCCACTGYATCAAGACCATGAAGTTCTCTGTTTCCCCTGTTGTCCGCTGCGCCGTCGAACCCAAGAACTCTGCCGATCTTCCCAAGTTGGTCGAAGGTATGAAGCGTCTTGCAAAGTCCGATCCCATGGTTGTCTGCAGTGTCGGGGAATCAGGAGAACACATCATTGCTGCATCTGGAGAACTTCACTTGGAAATTTGTTTGCAGGATCTCCAAAACGATTTCATGGGAACTGAGGTCAAGGTCTCTGATCCTGTTGTCTCGTACCGTGAGACTGTTCAAGCCAAGTCCAGTGTCACCTGTCTGGCCAAGTCCGCCAACAAGCACAATCGTCTTTTCCTCGAAGCAGAACCCATGTCTCCCGAGCTCTGTATCGCCATTGAGGACGGTGYCGTCAACACTCAAGCTGATGCGAAGACTCTCGGTCGTCAACTCGCCGACGAGTACGAGTGGGATGTTACAGAAGCCAGAAAGATCTGGGCATTCGGACCTGACCAGAACGGTCCTAACACATACGTCGACRYCACCAAGGGAGTCAATTACCTTTTGGAGATCAAGGAATCCGTTGTTGCTGGATTCAACTGGGCCTGTGGAGCTGGACCTCTTTGTGAGGAACAATTGCGAGGTTGCCGTTTCAACCTCATGGATGTCGTCCTTCACGCTGATGCTATCCATCGTGGTATGGGACAGCTCATGCCTACCTCTCGACGTGTCATCTTCTCGTCGATGCTTTCGGGAGAACCTTGTCTTCTCGAGCCTGTCTTCTTGGCTAACATCTCTGTTCCTCAAGACGCCATGGGTAACGTGTACGGTGTTTTGACCCGTCGTCGTGGTCACGTCTTCAGTGAAGACCAAAAGCCAGGAACCCCTCAGGTTACTCTTTTGGCATACTTGCCTGTTTTGGAATCKTTTGGTTTCACAGCCGATCTTCGCTCGCACACAGGAGGAAAGGCCTTCCCCCAGATGAGTTTCGATCACTGGGAGCCAATGTCCGGATCCCCTCACGATGCAGGAACTAAGTGTAACGAGACTGTTGTCTCCGTCAGAAAACGCAAGGGTCTTAAGGACGGAGTTCCAGAGCTCAGCCAATACCTTGACAAGCTTTAAATACGTAACGGATACGCAYACATTTAAATTAAACTTAAATTATATGGCCACATTGTGCAAACACAACAGAGCAAGAAATCTATGATTCCCTGTTATATCGGAGGTAAAGTACGAGAAAAAAATCTGAAGAATCGCAGCAGTGATGCTAATTACTTAACTTAGTCTAGACACTGCTTTCAACAATGGAACCAAAGATTGAGCAAGCTCGTTGTCTTTGAGAGCCCGATTTTGGCTGATCGCGTCAATATCTTCCAACRTCCTAGCTGTTGTTGAAGATTGTCGTTTCAGTGCGTCTTTCARAAGCGGATTTTTCATCCATCCAACCAAAACTAGTACAACGTTGTTTTGCTCAAAYTTTGACAGTTCCTCATTTTCGAACCAATCGGATATTTTACGAATCACAACGCTGAAGACGCCATAGTGAGATGACAGAATTGCAATGATTGGAGAGGTTAGCTTCGAATGAAACGCAATCGCYTCTTCGCTGTTCACAATGCAACGGATGAATCTGCAAATAGAGTCATTGAGTGAATCGACTGTGATCTCCCCATTCATAACGTCAAAAATCGAGTGCTGGTCATCCAGGTTCTGGTTCTTCTGCCTCGAGYTATGCACCAGGAAAAAGTATGCCAATATAATATAGCTCGCACGCGCCTTCGAAAGAAACTCCAACGAAAGCGTTCCTTCCTCCGCTTTAATTTCTTTTTGCCATGAGGATAGCTGTGATGATATCATTCGTAATACCTGTATAGATCCTAGTTCTGTCAGCGCTCGGGCAGTCCTATCTAAGCTTTGGTCTGTTTCAAAAAAGGTTTTGTCAAAAATATTCATTGAAGACGAATCCAAATTTGAATTKCCATGGAATTGTTTAACTTTCTTAACGTGGCGAGTAATTCCTGCACTTTTCAAAAGGAATGTAAGAAATCGTTGCATGGGAACTGACTTTCGAACTCCTTGAACAGCTTCAATGATTTTTTTTGACAATGTTAACTTTTTTGAGCGCGCGCAAATTGATGCTAGATATTGCAAGGTTTGATCGGTAGGATTTCTCAAAAGAACCAACAATCCCAACCACTTTTTTTGTAAGTGCCACGGATACATTTCAAAGATGGATTGTGATTTGKTAGAATCTACCACAAGATTATGCCAGTTGGCACGAAAAGACTCTAGCATCGGGTTATTATAATCTTCTTTGACCTCTCTAACCAATGTGGCAAGTCCCTCGAGAATCCTCTCACTTTCGTATACAAAGTCCGCACCCCATGCTTCCAAATATAATGGCATAGCAGTTATGAATGGAACAAAACTTTTCGAGATTAGTGACGTTGAATGGTCTTCCAAAGAATAATTGGTCAAGTCCACCAAATCCATTACTGCTAAAGAAATTCTTCGACCTGCGTTTGATCGAGCCAATTTGGCGTCATAGTTGGAGAAAAACAATTCCTGTAAAGTAAAACTGACAGAAATTAAATCCTTGGAATATCCATGGTCGATGCAGAGGTGACGAAGAAATTTGCACGTTATGTCCAAATCTGATGACGAATCCATGTATGTTTCATCTTGAAGGCGATTCATGCGAGGAATGACGTATGAATAAATGGCTTTCATTGGATCTTTTGCGTTGTCTACCCCTCGGGTGCTGTTTGCACCATCTTCATAAGATAAATCTAAGATAGTAATTGCAATGGTAGCATTGATGTCATCCACGCTTGACGGCTTGTTGCCTGCAGCAGAATTGTTCTCTGATAAATCGTGGTCGAAAGGAAATATGTCCATCAAAACTGAGACGATTTGCTGTGTAAATTTAGCAAAATCGGTTTCATCATCATCTTCATCCAAACATCTTACATTCCCAGTGGAAAAGCTCCTGTGAAGAAGTCGAACCGAACGGAGTAGTAAAATTATTCTTGAATAGTTTATATTTCCAAGGAGTTCAATCGTTGATGACCTAGCCATTCTATTCGTCGACGGTAGATTTGGTTCATCTMCGAGATTCACTGACTCGATTAGAATATCACGAAGTTTCGCCATCAAGTTTGTTTTATATTTCACTTCCCGACCATCACGAGAACTCAACGTCGACTGGTCCAAACCAGAGAGTTGGGAAACGGATTCGATCGCACGTGGTAAAGTATGCACCGGGCGACCAGATTTCAAAATTGCATTCCTAGATCGCCCTCCCGAAAAGTAAATCATATCAGGATAGTGGTCTCTATCTATGTTTTCTTTCTTGTTACCAAATGGATGACCAGTTGGTGTAATATGGTAGGATACCACCGAATCTGAGAATTTAGCCTCTGCAACTGAAACTCGAAGTAGCGATGTTAAGGATTGCAATATATCATCAATGTACTTTCTTGTTCTGCTATCAGCCAAAAGACTTACAAATGGAGGCATGAGTTGATCAATACTAGAAGCAGTTAAAATGGGGCAGGCGGTGCTGACCAACTTAACCATCTTCACCCCGTCCATCCGAGTTGGAGCATCTAAACTGTGCAAAGCTGACGATACCCTAGCGACCAACAAAATGCCGAATGGTTTGATTGCTTTCTCTTGCAATTGTGATAAAAGAGCCAAGAGAACCTCAATCGCAACACTTCGAGTGTCTTGGTCTTCGTCCACGCACGAGTGGACACATGTTGGAATCAGAGCCGAGAGGTTCGGTAGAAGAGCACCTGGCGGATGRCTTTTGACAATATCAAGAATTCCTTTTAAGCTACTGCAGCGGGCGGCTGCGGCAGGGTGCGACGATGCAGTTGCTACGAGTTCATATAAWGACTTCCCTCGTGAAGACAAAAGAATCGAATTAGGAGACTTCTGAGGATCAGCATCTCCTTGGATTGCTTGTCCGAGGTGAAGAGATGCGGACTGGAAAGAGACATCTGTGTCATTCTGGCGTTGTGCTTTCTTTCCGACTTTGGCTTTAATTCTTTTGAAGTCAGMAGATGGTCTTTTTTTTCGTTTGCTGCCAGACATGGTAGTTGTTRTTTACCGGTCGACTTCTTCTTGCAAAGATTGTTCATCAAGAAATCGAAAACAAATTCTGAGAGTTGTACCATGCGAACCGAACGAACTCAGATTTCGAAATTTGTTCCTGTGAAGTCGCTTTGAACAAACGATCTGTGACATGATGAAAAACCAAAAACCCGCTACTCGAACTTAGTACGGTAAACGTTCAATCACGACGGTGCAGTTCGTTTTGGACCGTACCGGTACAGACGATACCTATTTCTTACTCATATCCATTTATGTCTTTCTACAATTTTTTACTAAACGAGTACGAGTAGTCGTTCGTACGGTACGTATTGTCAATACAGTACCGTACTGTTTTTATTCCTATTCCGTAAAGTATGGTACCCTACGTAATGATAATATTATTGTAATGAATGGTGGAGATTACAACTTGCATGTACGACTACGTACTCGTATGTACCGTATCGTTAGGAATGAGYGAGTAAAGTATGTACTAATACGAGACTTAAGCCTTCTCGTACAATTTTTTYGTATTAGTACCGCGCATGGAGTACTACCTGTACTCGTACTCGTAATCTCATCAGCACTTTGTTGTACCTACTGTACGATACTCAAACTCGTAGCGGARAGCCCCAGATTGAACGTTTTTTATTTCCGCGTAGCCGAGCGATGGACAGAACGCTAGTGCATGCCGGAGAGGGCCCGAATGAAGAATTTTCAGTTTTCGCGCGATTGCGCACAATTTTTTAACGGAGTTCCYTCAAAATAACGGTCATTTCTTCAATCGAATGGTTCTTTAGGATGGGGTTTATCAAGGCCATATTCTTTGGAGTTTCCCAATAAATAAAATATCATTCTCGGTGAAGTCATTTTTATTAATAAGTTAATAACATAGATTCCATACTCACTGATGGTACTGTCATGCCACGTGCCAGGGCAATTGAAAGTTCCTATGCGGATCCTACCATCCGGTGCAAAGACAAACACTCCATTCACGTAAGTATCTGCCTTCCATCCGTTGAAGAAGACCTCTTGTTTAAGCCAGTCTTCAGAAGACTGGATCTCTGTCTTGAGCCCATCTGCTGCTGCCCAGACGCGTTGTTCTTCAAGTCGTGGATATTTTTCTCCAATTGCTCTAACATACTCNTGTTGAAAGCTGGAGCAAACAGCTCAACAAGATCCCTGAAGACCTTGTGGTCTACACCACAGCAGTTGAGGAGTGCTTGGTCATCTCCTGATTGGAACAGGGGGTAGACAAAGGGGGAGTCGGCATATCTACAGATGGCTATTCTAGGTGTTCTTCTGTCCTTTCTGCGTCTCTCCTCATTGGACTTCTGTTTTCTATCCCATTCATTCTTCAAGCGTTGTCTATGCTTGATTGCCCAGTATATGCAAAGGGTCTCGATTACACCCATTGTGTTTGCTGGGAGGSAACRCTTGTCTTTTGTTAAGGGAACAGCTCAAATTTGTGAGGGAGCTTGTGATTTTTAATTTTTACACGTAGTATTTTTGGTGTTAAAAATTTCGTGTTTTACTTGGTACTCAAAAAGGGCGCCCGCGCGTGTCCATCCAGTCTTAGTAGTCTTAGTCATTTCTGTTGAGATTCCAGATTCCTTAAAAGTAGACGAGCGCCAAAAATTTAGCCCGTGGGGGCCTGTTTTTAATGATTCCCGTTAAACTAAATGTCAACTTTAGACTTTTAGACATCTAGACTAACGGGAATGACCCATTGAGTTAATAAAATTTTATTATTGCTTTAATAAAAGGTTAATAAAATTTTATTATTGATTGAATAAAACGTTAATAAAATTTTATTATTGATTGAATAAAACGTTAATAAAATTTTATTATTGACTTAATGAAAATGTGTACTTACGTACAATTAGTAGACCATTCCACAATGATGCATTAAAAAACATCCATTAATAAAATTTTATTACCAGCATAATAAAACAATAATAAAATTTTATTAACAGCTTAATAAAACAATAATAAAATTTTATTAACAGCTTAATAAAACAATAATAAAATTTTATTATCAGCATAATAAAATTTTATTATCGGCGAGGTTACATTATTTTTATTATTGTGTGTCTCCCACACAAATAGAAAGAGGCTATGCCCCTTAAGTAGATTATGTCTATTTGATAGGAAAAATGAGGTGGCGCRTTCACATTGCGCATAAGTGTTGAGTTTAGTCAAACGGGACTGATCAGACCTGGAATCGGGCGCTCTCCCGTGTTTAACGCTGACCACATACMTACCAGTACGTATGAGTTTAAGCGTAATAAAAAAACAGCAAAAATTAACRATTTTTGGCCACATTACTACTGTAACTTTGGATGACTAGTTCAAAGCCCCTAGAGCATCCTTTGGCTTCCCAATGACCTGGATCTCTAAGTAATTGTATCAACTTGGTCTGGACACTTAGTCTGGTGGTCTAAAGTTGTTTTTTGATAGAGTTCTGGCCTATTTCCTAACCAGTAGCCGGTCTCCACTGGYCAAATTTGGTCATACCAGCTGTTGATGGAGAACSGGCTCCCCCAAGGCCTCTAATSATGTAACAATGACACATGGTGCTGTTCCCAACACTATTAGGAAGMTTTTCCCCAAAGAACAGCTCCTCTCAGGCCATACCRGAGCAGTTCTAAATGTCCTATTACACTGTTTGTGGTCAAAAAATGACCAAATACTAGTAGATTGATGTTGGATCAGTACTAAATAGTGGGCTTCAAAATTRACACATGATTTTATTAGTAATAAGTTTTGGTGTTTGAGTAGAATGCCTTTTTGCCCTGTAGGGTSTGGTAGGATTCTMCAATTAACGCAGTTTATATCGCTTAAACTGGTACCTACTACTGGATACTGGATGACCCTGTTTTGGGGGGAAGTGAGAAACAAACTATYGTATCTGTGCTCAGAATTTGGCAAGACACCTCCTTGATGCATTTGTTCTCTTTCTGGTTTATCAGAAGGAACTGTTTGAAGCATTTCTCAGCACTTCAACAAGATGCATCGATCCCATTTCTTTCTCCTTGAATTGATCAAGAACAATACATCCTGTGACAAAGAGACCCCTGTTTAAAATGGAGGATACTGAAAAAAGCAAGTAGCAAAACAAGCATACTGAGCAACTCAAAACACCAGATTTTCTTGCCAAAGACCTCCATAAGGACGATGTATATCGGCACTACTACCCCGCAAGCTCCCTAGATTCAGTTCCCACACAACACACCAGAGCACTCTTGTTTGGTTTCCACACCCAAAGCAGAGGGTAAAATTAAATAGGAGGAGAGCAAAAATAAAGAAGGCAAGGCATCAAGCCAGAATGCTTGTTTACAAAGGACCCAAGGCTTATGCTTACAAGCACTGGATGCCAAATGCAAGCTTGCAATTGTAAAGGGCAACATAGAGATGAAATGGCACCCAGCAACAAAGGCAAGGGAAGTAGTAGAGTTAACAAAGCAACAGAAAATTGATCCAGTGGTTGGATGGAAGATCCAAATTGTAATGGATACCCTGCAGCTCCTGAGCCGCCACCACCAGAAGTAGTAATTGATGGTCCTTCCCCTCAAGTACAGTCTGTAATGAATCAAGATTAGAAGTGGGTGCAGGAGGATTGGGAATGGAAMAGCAAACCTACTCCATACAACAAGGAACTAAAGGAGACCTGTCCTGGCTGTTTAAAGAAGACCTGCTTGAAAAAGCAAGATCTTGCAAAGGCCATTGAATTGGTGGCTTGATTCTGAAAGCCACTGCTTCTTCCTCTAGAGATCAATGTTGCAAACAAACACAAGTGGCTTYTTGAGATCTACAGGTCAGTGATGAAGAGGGAAAACAACTACACTCCTTGCACTCAACTTGCCAAAGAATTTGCTTATGATGAGTGGGGACATCCTTTTTGCATGGATCAAAGTTTATCCTTTGATTCTTCCGGCTACAAGGAGATGGATTGTGGGAACCAGCAACCAAATAACAAGCAACAACCAAAAAAGCAACTGTACTAGCAGCAACCAAAAAAGAAACTGAATGAGCAAGAACCAAATACCCAACCAGATGAGCAACAGGACGAGCAACAGAACCAGCAACAGGACCGGCAACAGGACCGGCAACAGGAACAGCAACAGGAACAGCAACAGGAACAGCAACAGGAACAGCAACAGGAACAGCAACAGGAACAGCAACAGGAACAGCAACAGGAACAGCAACAAGGATCAGCTGGAACAGTCTTCACAGCAGTAACAGGCTTGCCAAGACGCAATGTCATGGCTCTCCATTTTCCATTCAAATACCCTGTGTCATTCTTCTTTTGGAAGTACTTTCCAGGAACCTTTACAGGTAACCAGTTCTTAGCAACATTCCCTGTCATACCCAATCCGTGCTCACCAATCCAATCCAAGATTGAATCTAATAGGAAGAAGTTGTCAGCTGCAATATGCAGAGGTGATTTCCAAATCTTCCCAGGTCCTATGTTACAAAGAAAAAAGGTGTCAACAAGGTTGTGAACTTCAGCAGGGCCAGTACAGGTATGCCTATCATCAGTAGTTTCCCATCCACAATATCTCTGATGCCATGTTCTGGGATGGATTTGATCAACATCAGACATAAGTAT